AAACAGAACCAGACAAGGATGCCCTTTATCACTGCTCCTATTCAATATTGTGCTGGAAGTTTTAGCCAGAGCTATATGGCATGATAAAGAAATTAAAGGCATCCAAATTGGCAAAGAGAAAGTAAAACTCTCCTTATTTGCAGACGATATGATCCTATACATAGAAAACCCCAAAGACTCAGTTAAAAAAAAAACTATCAGACCTCATCGAAAGAGTCAGCAAAGTGGCAGGGTATAATATCAACATACAAAAATCAACTGGATTTCTCTATAGCAACAGCAATAGTGATGAAAATGACATTAGGAAAGCAATATCATTTACAATAACCACAAAAAGGATGAAATATTTAGGAATAAATATAACCAGAGAAACAAAGGACTTATACAAAGAAAATTACAAAGCACTACTACAAGAAACCAAACGAGACTTACAGAAGTGGAAGAACATACCATGTTCCTGGATAGGAAGACTCAACATCGTGAAAATGTCAATACTGCCCAGAGCAATTTACACATACAATGCAATCCCAATCCAGATTCCAACAACATTCTTCAAAGAGATGGAAAGGGCAATTACTAATTTTATATGGAAAGGAAAGAGACCCAGGATAAGCAAAACACTATTTAAAAGGAAGAACCAGGTTGGAGGTCTCTCACTCCCCGATTTCAAACTTTACTACATGGCTACGGTAGTCAAAACAGCCTGGTACTGGTACAATGAAAGGGACATTGATCAACGGAACAGAATCGAGAATCCAGATATTAACCCAACCACCTACAGCCAAATGATTTTCGACAAAGTATCTAGGCACATTGCATGGGGTAGAAACAGTCTCTTTAACAAATGGTGCTGGCAGAGCTGGAAAGCAATATGTAAAAGACTGAAAAAAGACCTCTGCCTCACACCCTGTACAAAAATGAACTCAACATGGATTAAAGATCTAAATGTGAATCCCAAAATTATGAAGATCATCAATGACAAAATAGGGACAAACGTGAGGGTGCTAATTCAGGGCATATATAGAAAGTAAACAAACAAAAACAGACAAAATAGATGAGTGGGACATACTAAAAATTAAAAACTTCTGTGCATCAAAAGACTTTACCAAAAGAGTAAAAAGGGAACCCACAGACTGGGAAAAAAATCTTTTGCAATGACGTATCAGATAAGGGACTCGTTTCTAAAATATATAGGAAAATACTACACATCTACAAAAATAAGACAAATAACTCAATTGAAAAATGGGCACAGGATATGTACAGACACTTCACCAAGGAGGAGATCTGGACAGCCAACAAACATATGAAGAAATGTTCATGATCACTAGCCATTAGAGAGATGCAAATCAAAACAAAAATGAGATATCAATTCACACCAGCAATAACAGCAAAGATCAAAAAAGTTGAGGACAATAAATGCTGGCAGGGATGTGGAGAGACTGGGACACTCCTTCACTGCTGGTGGGACTGCAAAATGGTCCAACCTCTCTGGAAAGCAATATGGCGCTTCCTCAGAAGGTTGAAAATAGAAATATCATATGATCCAGC